TCGAAAGATAAACAGACACCGTCAAGTGAGGAGCCTCAGCTCTGTAGCCCAGCGGGGGGAGGTTGGACAAGCCAATCGATCCATCCTGGCTGAGCGCTCAGCAGCAAACCCGAAGGTTAGCCCCTTCAAGCCGGCAGCCCCTCTGAGGGAGAAAGAGGCTGCAGTCAGCGTCCAAAAAGATTACAGCCTTGAGGCACTTTTGCTCTACCCTCTGTGCTCACTGTGTGTGGGAATAGAATTAACAGCAAAAGGGCCTGGGTTCTTGTTTGGGTGCATCTTTATGGAAGCTAATCAGCCGGTCTTTTGCTCTCGGAGTCACTGGGTAGGTTTGAACCACCAACCTTTAGATTAGCAGCTAATCACCATTTGTGCCATTATCGAAAGAGAAAGATCAATGAGATGGTGCGCGATAGAGGCAGCCACAAGAGGTTCAAATATACCTGGTATTGTATGATGCAGGCCTAGGCAACTATTTATGCTGTTACGCATGGAGTCGCCATGACTCCGAACCAACTCGGCAGCATCTTAGGAACAAATGTACATGGGACTTCTGTTACCAAAATGGCCAAGCATTGACATGTCATTCACCCACAAACGGTCAGGCAACAGCAGGATAAGGCCTTCAAGTTCACCTCCTCATTGCTCACAGGAGCATGGAAACAATGAGGCTCTAAGTGAGAAAGTGGGCTTGGAGATTGGTTGTGCTTGGGAACAAGGACTTTCCAAAGGATCCGAATAAAACAGGCCTGTGGTCTGTAGCAGGAAATTGAGATTTGCTAGCTTTTTCCTTTTCATTCTATCCCCAAATCTTAGGATGAAATGACCCTGTAAAGAGAGAGTCTATAAACAAGGTCATTAGGCAAGAGAGGGGAAACTGGTATTAAACAATTCACCCCCCAAAAGGACAAAATTAGAAAATTATTACAGAACCTGGGGAAGTTCTCCTAACTGCCCAGGCAGCTCGTCAAAGGGGCCCCTCTTCACAGCCCCACTGGTTGCCAAATGAGGCATCTCCGGGCAGCACAGCCCGTTCCAGAGATGAAAGGCTTTCTCAGGTCAGTGGTGAACACATTGCTCAAACCAAACAGGGAATGTAGAAATCAGAGGAAAAGGGCTGATGCATTAGGGCTGTGTCATGCCTGTGCCGGGCGTGTCAGCACAGCCACAGCTACCCCATTAGGAGGGGAGTCAAAGAAGCTGCTTAGAAACAAGACCTGATGCGTCACTCCCTCCACCACCACAGGCGGGCCACTGTCTGGTCTCTTTATTGGGGGTGGGGGGCAGCGAGAAACAGCGTAGAAGCAGGGGGGATGCCCAACTCAATTCTTGGAATTCTCCTGGGCTAGGCTCTCAGTGATGTCATGTCTTGTTGGATTCACCGTTTCTAAATACTGTAATACACCTTCCCCCTTAGCCCAAGTCATGACAGTCAAGGGACTTACCAGGTTGAAGGCAAGGAACCCCAGTGGTAGGGGGTTTTAAACTGAAGCCCATCCATAAGTGACAGGCCCGGACAAAAAAGGATCGAGTGACTTGGCTCCATACCTACCACTTGAGAAGAGAGCTGTGTCCAAAATCAAGAGCAGGGCAGGTAGAAGACGGTCCAGGTGGGCATGTGAGGACGCAGAGTGTTGAGGCAGAGGGCACGTCTCACCTGATTAGCTGAAGGTCCACTTCACTTAGGGAGCCACAGCTGTAAGTCTGCAGAAACAAGACTGCCCCATCGCCCATGGAGTGCTGGTGGGTTAGGAAGCCACCGATAATCCAGCAACTGGACATTTCTTTCAGCAAGTACCAGACTTTTCAACAACAAATGACCAAAACGTTGCAAGACACGTATGAGAGAGGAGAGTTCATTCTGAAGCCTATAAGGATTTAAGGGAGGTTGGGGGTGGGGGGGCAGGATTTAAGAAATGGATTAACCACTTGCTGTGCATGGACCTCATTGTACCTTGATTCAAATAAACTGGGGGTGGGGGTGGGGGGAAACAAAGCAAACCCCAAAGCCATTGCCATTGAGTCAACTCCAACTCACAGTAGCCCTACGAGGCTGAGTAAAGCTGCTCCCTCAGCTTTCCCAAGCGTCAATCTTTATAGGAGAAAAAGCCTCTTCGCTCTCCTGCCGACACTGCAGCCATACCGGTAGCAAACGGTGAGCAATGCAGAGGTAAATCTGAAAGCTGACCTAGACATCAAAGGTAGGTATTGGGGGAGTGTGTGTGTGTGTGAATGGCATTTGGTTGGCTTTTACAAAATCTGGCATAATTATGGCTAAAACAACAGCTGGGATTTGCTTTAATACTCCAGTGGCGATAGGAGAGGAAACCAGATGGGCATGAATTTGGGATAGTGGGTGCTGGGTGGTTAATGCAGGAGGCTCATTATGCTGCTGTGTCTACAATTAGACATTCTTCTTTCCATAGCAACTGAGGTGTCTCAGGAGGATTGGGGCTATAGGGCATTACTCTCCTTGGTGTTGGTGATGGCGGGTGCCTGTGGATCTGGGTTTAAGACTAAGGAAACGGAACTCCTCTCCTGGGACTCTCTTCTGCTCACCATCAGCAGGAGCCAAGCCTATCAGGGTGGATCAATGGCTCTAGGTTGGCAGAAAGCCTTCCTTACCACCTTTATTGTCTGCAACTGCCCTTAGTACTAAGTGTCAAAATAAGGAACGTGGCTACTCAATGTCAATAAAAATTAAATTAAGAGGCCTGGCAGCAGAGTGAATTCAGCTGAGCACCTCCTTGTCTGAAGGGAACATCCAAATCATGATTTTTAGGAGGGTCATATGCTGGTACGCATCCTTGTTTGGGTGATTGAATTTAAGATCCAACAATGCACAGGGTTCCCCACGCCCCACACCCAGGCGGAGCGGCAGCCCACCCAGTGACCCAGCATGTGGACTTGCTGACAACCAGCCTCTGCCTCCGTGCATGGGGGAGAGAGGGAAAGCCACTGTGCAGAAGGCACAGGCTTGACACAGCAAAACTGTGTACATCGCCTCCCTAATGGGATAAAAAAAAACGAAGGCCGCTCTGAGCTTCTCGGTCTCACGAGTCCCATCCCCCCACCCCCATCTCCCGCCCACCACCACCCCAGGCACACCAGAGACACTGTCGGGACACATCGGGAGAAATGCTGGGCTGCATTTTCCAATACATCGGTGGCTGTGCAAAGCCGTTCTGATGGGTACCTTGGCAAAAACGGAATAGGGTTTAAATGAACAAGTTAATGGAGACGAGTGTGGTGACAGCTCAAAAAACAAAGCAACTTTCACAACCAGTGATGGCACTTTAATAATTTAAACAGAACTGACTTCAGGAACATACAGACAAAGTCAAAGCCATCCAATTCAAGTCATTTCATTGCACAGTGTATTTAGATAAACCAGCTTTTAAAACCCTCCCCCCACTGAGTCAAAGCTGTGGATCTGAAAAAATCATTTTGAAGTACCACGGGCCACAGTCAGGTAGGTCAGGCAACTAACTCTGTGTTTCACACTAAGAGAACCAACTCCAAATAGAGGAAACTTGTAGGGAATGTCAGAATCGTCACTAAAAGGGCGTACACATAGCCTCAGAAAGATCAACTTACAGCTTACACTGTCTGGGATCTTCGAAGTCACCCCTGCTTTTACTGTCATCCCAAACACAGGCTGAGTGGCTGAGAAGTCCACCTCTGTATGTGCAGAATAACAGTGAGACCAGGCTTGGCTTCTTCCCCCCTTAACCACAAAAAAAAAATCAACCAACTTTATGAATCCCAATAAAGACAAGGAGGTCAGGAAATATTACAGATAGGGAGAACGTAAAAGGCCAACCCCACTGCCATCTTGCCCCATCACAGGCCAGATGGCATCCAAGTGGCTAAAGCGAGACTTTTTGGACCATGTATCTTTTTGCAAGGGCCGCTCGATTTTAATTTTGCCCACACTTCTCCAGGGAAGAGACGGTAAGATTATCATTATTGGAAAACAATGAAGACCAAGCAATTAATAAGGCAACTACTTCTTAGAATGAGATACCTATGCCACCTGTCCCGGAGTGACAGTGGAGGCCAACCCCCACCCCCCAAGGCTTCCTGGTACATCGTCACCAACACCCACTATATGGCTTTCCTAGAGCAGTGGACAACACGCAGGTGCAGTCGCAGTCGACAGGCTAACGCACCCCACATTCTTTCTCATGCTCATGGGCACTGTGGCTCAGCACCCCTCAAAACAATGGACACCCTCAAAGTTCACAGAAATACTTAGGAAAATATTTGACAGGATTACCCCCACACACACCCCCCGCCCCCCCGCAAAAAAAAATGTTTTAAGGCATCTAGCTGGAACACACAGAATCAACGCCCAGGGACATCCCGACAGTAAAGCTGGGAGGACTGTTGATGCCAAGTCTTAGAAGACCATGTTCTTCCCACTAAAGGAGGGTAAGGCATCTCCACTCTAGACGGCGCCCTTCTCCTCAAGGCACAGAGAGTTAAAGGTCTAAATCCCTGTCCGTCGACATGAGAACACACACGGAAACGACTCCAGGAACTAATTTCCTGTGCTTGAGCTAAAAAAAGGAATCGCGGGTAGAAAGGAGTCTTTGTACCTCACAGTGAAGTCCAGAGTACAGCTATGCCACTACTTTGCACTGGTGACTGCCATGACGGCTGGCATTTAAAAAATAAATACATATATATTTAAAACACAGCATGGATGGCTTGGTAAACATGATTAAAGTCGAGCCTGTAGGGCTTCAGTTCACAAAGTCATGTTGCACACTGGACACCACTGTCCGCTCGTTTTGACAGTGGGTTTGGGAAGGGAAAAACCCTATAGCTCTCTCTCCCACCAGCTCCCCAGCCTGGCTGTCAAGTGGCCACACTACTGCAGCCAAGGGCAGCCATTGCTCTCCCTTCCCAGCACCCTCGGGCGATCTGAATGGCAGTGGTTCTGTGCAGGGTACTTGCACTGTTGCCTACCAGTGGCAAGAATAAAGTAAGAGGGCTCGCCCCTTTAAAAATGATCTTTATTGGCTTTGCTATAAATAAGTCTTCACCACAATCAGTGACACAGAATATAAAGTTCACGTCTGTAACGATGGAGGACGGAACGCACACACAACGAAGCCCAGGCAGGCGGACAGCGGTGCCGCGGCAGCAGGACTGCCCCGGGCTCAGCTCCGGATGAGCGTGAGGAACTCCTCCCGGGTCTTCGGGTCTTCCCGGAACACGCCCAGCATCGTGCTGGTCACCGTCTTGCTGTTCATCTTCTGTACCCCTCGCATGACCATGCACATGTGTCTGCGAAACAAGACGGCGAAGGGGAGTTAAGGCTCGTTTGCATTTTAAACTGAACACTGGACCCCACGCAGTCATCCCACTTCCCCCTTGCCCACTGGGCCCAATAGCACTTCTTAGACCAACTGGATCCAGCGGTTGCCTTTCTGCTCTTTGGGGTCATCAAGTATTCAGTGCATCGAGCAGAAGCAGGGGAAAGGGGCAAAAATGACATGAAGTGCCCACAGGTACACGATGTCTTGTCACAAGAAAATCCCCTTGATCTACCCGTCCTGGCCAAGAGAGTACGAGGGGAGGTTGGGTGTCAGAGAGGCCTCCCCGAGGCAGCCCAGGGGAGCCCCACGACCCACCCAGCGGGACGGAAGAATCGATGAGACCTGCCTACAGGCCTGTGCATGTCTCGGTATTCACTCGGACTTAAAGGCTCTTCACGTGCCCTTGGCACAAAACACCTACATCTATTCTTTTCGCGTGTGAAAAATATATAATAACTCAGTTTGGAATAGGAAAAACCTACCCCCTACCCCCACCCCACTCCACAACAGAAACATGGATGAAGGGAGACAGTGGGCAGTGTAAAATATAAAAATAAAACTAATTTATAAATTATGAAGGGTTCACGAGGGTGGGTGGAAGGGGGAAAAAGAGGAGCTGATCCCAAGGGCTCAAGTAGAAAGAAAATGCTTTGGAAATGATGATGGCAACATATGTACACATGTGCTTGATTACAATTGATATACAATCATTGTGATAAGAGCTGTAAGAGCCACCAATAAAATGATTAAAATTTTAAAAAAGAAAATATAAAAAAATTTAAAATAACATTTATCATTCAATTTTTAAAAAGCGGAAAAAGCTAGAAACCATGAGAAAATGCGCACCACTGCTGGTTACACAAATGGCTGCACCTGTGCTGAAGCCTCCCCGACCTTCCCCACCTCCCGAAAGTCCCCCGTGCCTTATCCTGGTTCCTACCTTGGCCACACCATGACAGAAAAGAAAAGGATTTAACACTCAGACACAGCCCCCAAGGGTGACAGGGTCAACAGTGGGGCATCCCCCACTGCTAGAAAAAGCCAGCCCCCTCTGCATTTACTCGGCCGGCGTGGCACTACTGGAGACAGGCAGGGACTTACGTTGCTTCAACCACCACCCCGACTCCCGCAGGCCGTAAGGCTTCTGTGATGGCAACAGCAATTTGCTTGGTGAGGCGCTCCTGAACTGCGGGTACGATCAGATTCTCAGTGTAAACGTGAGACACAGTCCAGACCGGCTGTTAATTCCCACTCATGGCAATCCTATGGGACAGCTGAGGCCTGGCCCATGGGGTTTCCAAGCCTGGCTTGAACTGCCAGTCATTAAGCAGCTTCGTGTCTAACTCCGGACACAGCGAGGTGCTGGAAAACTTGTTTCCATCTCTTGACTCTAAATTATTTGCAATCTTAATACCCCAAACCCACCAGCAAAACCCCACCAGCTTGCTTTCCCTGCTGCCTGAGCCACAAGGAGCCTCAAGCTTCAGTCTCCTCCACCCCCACCCCCATCTTCCACCTCCACCTCCTCC